ATTCCATGAACAGAATCAACAAGAGATTCATGCCAATTTTGCAATTCGAAAAATCATGTAACGCGTTCTCAAAGACAGCAGCGCTTTCCCCTTAATAGAAAGCACGTAATGCTGATCCAAATTTCGGTATCTTCCCAAAATGATATTTTTTACAAGCTGGATATGTACCTTGCTGGCATTATATGCCATTTGGAACTCAAGGTCATCGGCGCTGATTCGAGAAATTCGCTCAGGAAGCGTCTCTTCTTCCGTCTGAAAGTTCACTCATTTTTATTCTAACATAAACATAAAACCTCGCAAACTATTAAAACTGTGAAAAAATAAGATTCTAATAATGATAACTTCATTTTCTTATGTTACCTCAAGCACTCGATCTTCAAGTTCGCTGTCGAACACCGTCCTTTGGCCGGGATCCTCATTAGAGAGGAATTTCGTCCATGCATCTTTATGTGGAGCAACTTTCTCTTCTTTAAGTTCTGAAAGCAAGATTTTTAACTGGTACAACACACACGCACAATTTTTACAAGCTAACTCAAAATGAATAGAGGCGACAATGATGTGTGTAATATTCAGTGAAAACCTTCGATCAAACAACCTAATTTTTAGCTAATCTCCGCCTCGGTAAGTCTTTTTTGGATGCTTACATGCTTCGCTTTTTTCTCTCATCTGTAGGAAATTGGATGCGGTTCAAGAGTACTTACCTCCATGGCGATCACCCCATTCTCGGTGCTCGTGTTTTGCAGCTCGACCATGCTTGGTGCCATTCGGTCGTGGATCCCTGAATTCATAATATGGGACCATTTTAAAGCAAAAATCATAAAGCAAAAGGGTAAAATCTTACCGATGCACTCGATTCGCTCGGGCTGCAGGCGCAGGTTGATTTTTGCCTGCTCGATTCATATTTTTTGGTGCCCACCCTGACGATGGATCAGCTCCGGCTTGGGATGGTGGCTAAAACACCTCAGATTTTCCTTGTATTAAGCTTGAAATGTATTTTTTCAATGATCTTTCAAAAGAACCTCCCACTGTGAGACAAATCATCCTTTATTTCACATTTTTTTCATTGCCTTCCAAAAAAATCATATTTTCTCCCATAAAAATTGTCCCAAGCTAATTCAAATGGACTGACTGAGCTAAAGTTCCGTCTGCTTGAATTTTAGTCTTTCGTAGTACTCAGTCCAATAACTGCATAATGGCAGGAAACTCCCAGCTCCGCTACGGATATCCTGCTGCCATTTCCAAGACCACTTTCAACAATTACAGACCAGGTTAAGGTCATTATTCCAAAGATTTGTACGTTCAACCAAGAAAGTAATGTAATCAGAGTAACACTAATGAGCATCCTCCAGGGTTCAGTTTTCTCCAAGCAACTTTCAAAATATAATTAAGCAGTAACTCTAGGAGTAAGGTCGTTTTTCTTGTACAT